CTGCGTGTAGACATTTTTGTTTGGCCCTTTTCTGTCCCTTGCTCTTTGTCATTTGATGTGCGGGTCATAGATTTACAGTGCAGGAACGAGTTTCTTTCTCCTTGTTGGCTTTTCTTTGGTGTTGGTTGTCGTTTGTATTGAGTTTACTTTTCCTCTGCGTGTGCACGTCTGGTGTAACCGCCTGATTCGTGATTTGAGTTTGCACTTTCGTTGTTTGAAATTTGCCCAGTGTGAACTTGGGGTCCTTTGTCTTATATTTGGAGTTAAGTTCCTTGTTTGGAAGTTTTTTGTTTGTTCATGGGTTTTTTCCCCTCTTTGCCTATAGCTATGAGAGCTATAACGGAAGTATGTGAACATGTTATATGAATTTGTGTGGTTCCTGAGAGCGGTGATGTGGTCTGGAGGCATGTTAGAGTGTTGACAGTGAGAGAGGACCCGCAGTGCTCTGGAACCTGGAGATTAAAAGCCTCTCACCTCTCCCTTCTTCTCACTGACCCTCTTCTTTACCACGGAGGATGTCCTTTTCTAGGGACGGTTCTAGGGAAGTATGAGATGTCCAAGGTAAGTAAGACACAGACTCAGCATGCTTCCTTCTAAAGAGCATGGTGGTCTGATAGCCTACAAATTGTCATTTTGCCACATCTTGCCCCATCCGACGACTCCGCCCACCCACCCCTCTGCCGTCCGTCCCCCAGGGAGCAGGTCACATATAGTTCCCTGTAATCGGTTCCCTCCCCCCCCACTCTCCCTGCACCCTCCCCGCCTGGCCACTCACACCACTGGTCCTGCAGGGCCCACCTGCCCTGGACTCCCTGTATCCCCAGCTTCTATCTTTATACCAGTGTACATCCTCTGGTCTAGCGAGACGTGCACGGTCGAATTCGAGTCACGGTAGTGGGAGCAGGGAGGAAACATTTAGGAACTAGAGGAAAGTTGTATGTTTCATCGTTGTTCAAACAAGTCGTTTTTCAAATGTCATTTCTTGCACATGGAAATCCACCATGGAAAATGTTGGTGTTGTTATTTTTGACCCAATGAGGAGCAAAAGGGAAGCAAGCTTGTCATGTCTCAGGCCTGAAAATGCGCTTTGGAAGGAGAATTTCACACCCCGGGAGGTCTGAGGAGGGCCATGGCCTCACTGTTCACTTCCTGACAAGTGTGCATAGGTGCACGCTGCACAGCTGTGATGGGTGGGACAGGCTGCTTTGTTGGAGGGTAGTGCTGTATTCCAGAAGGGATCACCCACAGAAATTCAAACATGACTGTCACCTTTTTGGGTACGCTAGTGCACCACATGTCCTATAAGTGAGGTGGTTCTCTGAGGGGTTGAATCTGCGGATTTCCTCAGTGTTTTACCCTGCACGTGTTTTATTTATTGATGTTTTATGTCTGTGGGGGGGCATGTGTAAAGAGCAAATCAGAGTTCCATTCAAGCATTCATAGACAGCTTGTTTCATGTCCTTGATTGCAATCTCCACAAAGTAGCATCTCTTGTCCCACTTCCTCCCTCTGTCTACTGTCTCCACGTTTCCTTCTTTCCTAAACCTTCCTGCCTTCTGA